CATTCCATATCTGCCATCTCTCTCTGCCAATACCTCCACTGGCTTCCCATTGCCCAACAAATAAAATTCAAAACCTTAACAATAACATATAAAGTCATTTATAACTCTGCCCCACATTACATCACCAAAATTGTCTACAAATATCACCCAAACCGTCCTCTCCGCTCCTCTCACAACCTCCTGCTCTCTAGCTCCATTGTCTCCTCCTCCCATGCTCGTCTCCAGGACTTCTCCAGAGCCTTCCCCCATCCTCTGGAACTCTCTACCCCAATCTATCCAACTATCACTTACTCTGTCCACTTTTCTGCGATCTCTGAAAACCTATCTCTTCAGGGAAGCCTATCCTGCCTTCAGCTAATAATGGAATCTTCTATTCCTCCTATCAGTTCATCCCCCACAGTTATTACCTTTTTGTACCACCTGCCCCTCCCTCTTAGATTGTAAGCTCCAAGGAGCAGGGCCCTCCTAACCCTCTTGTATTGAATGGTATTGCTGTTTTATTGTCTCCATTCATATTGTAAAGAGCTGAGCAAGATGTTGGCGCTATATAAATCCTGTATAATAATAGTGGAACCAATTGCCTTCAGAAGTCACCTAATTAGTAAATAGAGTCCACCTGTGTGTAATTTAACAAACCTCTGAGGGCTTCACAGAACAGCTGCATTTATACAGAGATTAGAGTATATTAGCGAACAAACTGCATCATGAAGGCCAAGCAGCACACCAGAGAGGTCAGGGATAAAGTGGTGGAGAAGTTTAAAGCAGGGTTAAGTTATAAAAAAAAATTATACCAAGCTTTGAACATCTCAAAGAGCACTGTGCAATCCATCCGAAAATGTAAAGAGTATGGCAAAACTGCAAACCTATGAAGACATGGCGTCCACCTAAATTGACAGGCCGTGCAAGGAGAGCATTAATCAGAGAAGCAGCCAAGAGGCCCATGGTAATTCTAGAGGAGTTGCAGGGATCCACAGCTCAGGTGGGAGAATCTGTCCTCCATCAGTATTAGTTGTGCACTCCACAAATCTGGCCTTTATGGAAGAGTGGCAAGAAGAAAGCCATTGTTGAAAGAAAGCCATAAGAAGTCCCATTTGCAGGAAGCCATGTGGGGGACACAGCAAACATGGAAGAAGCTGCTCTAGTCAGATGAGACCAAAATTGAATTTCTTGCCCTAAAAGCAAAATGCTATGTGTGGCAGAAAAATAACACTTCACTCCATCCCCACCATGAAACATGGTGGTGGCAGCATCAAGTTGTGGGGATGCTTTTCTTCAGCAGGGACAGGGAAGCTGGTCAGAGTTGATGAGAAGATGGATGGAGCCAAATGCAGGGCAATCTTAGAAGAAAACCTGTTAGAGTTTGCAAAAGACTTGAGACTAGGTTGGAGGTTCACCTTGCAGCGGGACAACGACCCTAAACATGCAGCCAGAGCTACAATGAAATGGTTTAGATCAGGGGTCTCCAAACTTTCTAAACAAAGAGCCAGTTTATTGTCCTTCAAACTTTAGTGGGCCGGAACTGTGGCCAGCAGGAGTGGAAATTTTCCTGGAATCAGTGGGAGTAAACATTACCATATTTGGTATTAGAGGGAGGAACAGTGTCCTATCGTTGGAAGGAAGAGTGCCCCATTACTGCTGTCAATGAGAGAAATGGTGCCCCATTGTTGGTGTCAGTTGGTAGAACAATGTCTTCTATCAGTGGGAGGAACAAAGTCCCAAGGGCCAGATAAAGGAAAGCAAAGGGCCACAATTTGGAGACCACTGGTTTAGATCAAAGCATATTCATGTGTTAGAATGGCCCAGTCAAAGTCCAGACTTAAATCCGATTGAGAATCTGTGGCAATACTTGAAAATTGCTGTTCACAGATGCTCTCAAGAGCTACATTGCAAAGAAGAATGGACAAAAATGTCACTCTCTAGGTGGGACATCCCCAAAAAGACTTGTATCTGTAATTGCAGCGAAAGGTGGTTCTACAAAGTATTGACTTAGGGGGGCTGAATACAAATGCACGCCACACTGTTCAGATATTTATTTGTAAAAAAGTTTGAAAACCATTTTATCATTTTCCTTCCACTTCACAATTATGTGCCACTTTGTGGCACTGTAAATACACTGTTGAAATATATATGTGAACTGCTTTGCCTGACAAAGGATTTGTAACTCTGTTCAGGCAGTCCTTTTAAATCACACACATCTGTCATTTTGCATAGTCAGGATGGAGATTCCAATGTGTTTATTTTCCTGGTTTCAATACTGTAGTTGCTGACTTTTAAGAAACAAACACCAACTCAGAGTCCTGCATTGTCTTCTCTGCAAACGCTTCTTCTCCGAGATACTGCTCTCTGGTGCTGCCATCTGAAAGGACAAGTTCACCCATTTTTAGGATGGAATATGTAACCTGTTCCCAATGCTGCAGCTGCTCCCCCCCCCCCCCCCACACACACACACAGAAGTACGGGGAGTAGTTTCCCGTACTAGCTGTTTTTTTTTAAGTGTTCTGTGAGTGAAAGAACTACAAGTCCCAGCATCCCTAGCGGCTGTCGGCTTGTTATCAATGAACTACCTTGGCGCTGTGGAGTGCCATGGTATTCTTTTGAATCTGCCTGTCAGGCTCCTGCACCCAAAAATAAAGCAAAAAAAATAAAAATATTGCAATCAAATAATATCAAGTGACTAAGTCCTAATAAATTTCCACGGCGTGATATTGCAATCGCGCTAATGCTGCATGCATATCTTCAAAAAAATCCTGAAACAAATTTCAAACAATCCCTTATCCTATGGTGTCTTCTAATGATATATTATCAAACAAATATAGCCCACCAATTCATATATATTGTGCTCCTTCACCAGTTGTGCTCTCACCTGACGTATATGACCAAACCGTTAAGTTAGGTCATACAAGCTTGTGTCCCTTTTAATTGGGCTCAGAGGTGGACAAATGGATAAATCCCTGTATCCCAAATGGATGGATGGATTAATGGAGTTTTTCCTTTTTTCCAGCAGGGGTTCTCGCCGTTTCCTAGAGATCTTTTTCCTGGAGGTGGATGGATTGATGCCGTTATCCCTGTTCCCACTAGGGGGTCTCTTGACTCCTTTAAAATTTTTCCTCCATGTGTATATATTCCATGTAATTAAAAAGAAAATATAGTGCCTTATCCTCTTTTTAAAAGATTTATTAAATAAATATAGTGCACTCACATAATATACAGATAAACGCTTTTTGTACAATTTTGAATGATCCTTAGTATGTTTGCCACACTCCCATATACTTGCTGTGTGGTTGCCTTTAAGTGCCGTGACGTCAAAGCCCCTCCCCTACGCGTTACGTCACCAGGTCACATGGTTTCATCAGGGGCAATTCCTTGAGAACCACCTGTGATTTCCTGATGTTTCAAAGCTGGCTCCCCATTGTGCATGCACGAGGCATGGCAGCGCTGTGGGACTGGCCCTGCAGCCTCCTGGAATTTGTTACATGTCTGCAGAAGACTGGGGGGGGGGGCGCGCCCGAGTAGGCAACATTCTTTCCTTGTTGAGAATTGAGCAAGTGGAAGGGTATATCTGTTATAAAAGCCCCCCCCCCCAAGAGAAGATAAAAAAAAATACACTTCAAATCTGTTAGGGGTGGGAAGGAGGATAAACAATACTGTCATGTTCGAGTGAAGGTCCGCTTTAAATATTAAATTGGAAGTATGACGATAGAGAATCCTGTGTAATGAGCAGGCTGGAGGCAGAGAGGTAGAATAGAGTTATGATGCTAAACCAGAAGTTAGGTGGGAGGGGGGGGCGGCATCTGTGTTACTATGTAGGGATGCACCAATCCAATATATCATTAATAACATGAAAATCGTGTTATCGCCATTTTGCCGATAGGAAAAAGGTGCCTATAAAAGGCACTGAAAACTTGCGATTTTACCAGGTTTAGGGTGCGTTTTTTTCATAGGTCATGTGACTCAAAAAACTACATCAATATGCAACACGTGTGTGTGTGTGTTTGTTTGTGTGTGTGTGTGTTGATGAGTTTTCAATGCAGTTGAGGCTTGGTTCACACCAATGCAGTTTGCGTTTTGTCCATTTTTTTGCAGTGCTTTTTACATTGAGTTTTTTTTTTCCTTTTTTGCATGTGCGTTTTTGACACATTTTTCTTAAATAGTTTTGCGTTTATGAATGTTAGTTGTTTTTTGTTTTTTTGACCAGCTTGTTGGGCATATCAAAAACGCAAAACTCATTAAAAAAAAGCAAGAAGTCCATTTTTGCTGCATTTTAAATGCAATTGAGGCCTGGTTCACACCATTGCAGTTTGCGTTTTGTCCATTTTGCAGTGCATTTTGCGTTTTTGCACACATTTGACGTTTTTTTTTTATTTTGTTTTTTTTTTTATTTGGCCAACTTGTTTCTGGGTAGATTAAAAGCGCGAAAACATGGCAAATGCTTGAAAATGTGTCAAAAGCATACTACATGTGTTTTCTGCATTTTCTCCATTGAAGTTCATTGAACCAAAAATGCAAAGTTTTGCATTTTAAAAAAAAAAGTCCCTGACCCTTTCCAAAAACGCATCTGCTCAAAAGAGCATAGATGTGAACGTGTCCCATAGGAAATCATGTTAAATGGACTAAATGGGGAGGTGCATTTTTGGTGTTTTTTTTTTCCTGCCAAATTTGCACCAAAAAATGTGGTTTAACACCGCAATGGAAGTGCAATGGACCAGTGTGAAGACATATATTGAATGTAAAGGGGTGCATTTTTCTTGAGCTTTTTCTGTGCCTTTTTTTTTTTTTTTATGCAAAAGCGCTGCAAAAACTGCTCAGTGTGAAAGCAGCCTATTTACCCAAAGCTGCTGAAAATACATTTTGTTTTCATTTAAATTCATTATTTTAACTGCATCCCGCCCGCCATATAGTAAAATGATGGGCGCAAAGTGGTTCTCTCGTTCTGGGAGGACGTCATATGATGTCCTCCCATTCTAACCGTGCATGGGTGGCTCCTGGAGCATGCAGCACGGTGATCAGTGATCCACGGAAAGAGCCAAAGATGTCAGCTCGGTCATGTGATCAGCTGTGTCCAATCACAGCTGATCACATGTAAACAGGGAAATGCCGGTTATTGGCATTTCTCTCCCCACGAGCTGTCACGATGACAGAGGAGAGGAGAGCCAGTAATCGGCATTCCTCGGAGGAGACATGTACACTGATCATCAGGGCACTGATGTGTCCATCAGTGCCAGCTCTCACTGCTCATCCATGCCACATCAATGCCACATATCAGTGCCCATCTGAGCCCGCCTTTCAGTGTCACCCATCAGTGCCTGTCAGTGCTGCCAATCAGTGCCACGTGTCAGTGTGTATCAGTGCCGCCTATCAGTGTCATGTATCAGTGCTGCCTTTCAGTGCCCATCAGTGATGCCTGTCAATGCCCATCAGTGCCACCTACCAGTGCCTCCTCATCAGTGCCCATCAGTGCAGCCTCATTAGCGTACATCAGTGAAGGAGAAAAATCACTTATTTACAAAATTTTATAAAAATGTTTTTTTTTTGTTTTTTTTCCCCCAAAATTTTCAGTGGTTTTTGGTTTAATAAAAAATAAAAAAAACCCAGAGGTGATTAAATACCACCAAAATAAAGCTCTGTCACAAAAAATGATACAAATTTCATATGGGTACAGTGTTGCATGACCGCGCAATTGTCATTCAAAGTGCAACAGCGCTGAAAGCTGGAAATGTGTCCTGGGCAGGAAGGGGGTATAAGTGCCCTGTAGGCTAGTGGCTAATTAAAGTCAAATATAATACATTTACATTTTAAAACATTTTTTTTAAAACTGTCCATTACAGTTTTCGATCAATTACATCCTGAATTTTCGGTTTCGCTCCAAGAATTTTCATTTTGGTGCACCACTATTGCTATGCATTGTGATAGAGGAATGTATATCACAAGACTACCTGAACAGAACTGCAAATCTTTAGGTTGATTAAAATAGTTCATCTTTAGGTTCCAGTTTTATTTGTGTTGTGACAACGTTCGGCCCTGTACATTTTATATGCATTGCACTAAGGCAGCGCACATGCATTACAACAGCAGTGCCAGCAGTTGACTTTTGAAAGGAATGGAATACAGAAATGAAAAATTCTATTTTTCAGTGACTGAGTCTAATCTATTTGTAATTGGCTTTGGCTTCAGCTTCTCTGCATACAGTGTGAGTATCTAGAAGAATTATGTACAATGTACTGCCAACTACCCATGAATTATTGGCTAATGAATTTTTTGCATCTGTATTTAGGGATCCCAAAGTTTAATGTTTTTTAGCCTAAAGCCTGAGGTCATCTTTCCTACTAAAATCCGATGCCTGAAATCAATGATTGCTAAGTACCCCCCTTCCTAGTTTAAATGGAGACCCTCTGGTCGCAGGTGGTGAATTATATTACTCATTAAGAGTAATTAGCATAAAGCTAATTTTGGAATACATACTGCAACCCATTATCAGTATTACACCCCAGGGTATTGCTGTCCTCTGTAGGACATATGATATCTGTGCTTGTCTTAATAGCTCTTTGTTACCATGTATTTATGCATGTAAGCTCTTATCCTTGCTTTTGTCATTAAATTCAACCTGGTCAGGATCTGCAAAAAAAAATAAACAATTATATAAATGTTATAACTTTTATTGGTATTCATAACAGACCAAAATGTAGTCCATGTACAGTGCAGATTACCTTTTAGATGTAATGGCTGCATTAGTGTTGGTCTTTTTAGACGTTTTCATTTACTTTTGCCTGGTGAACCTGCCAGTAACACTTTTTGTCGCAGAGTGGCCATGATCACTCACTGTACTGTATCTATGGAAAAGCAGTTTTGTCACAGAACAGCAGCCATCCATGGGTGAAGTCTGACCCTGCGCTGACCACAGAATGGATGCCTGGGGCACTGGCTAGAACCATTGCCAAGGCTTTGAACTGAACATAGAAATGTCCATCACTACAGCCAAAGATTTACAATCGTTAGACCAGGGAATGAACACCACATGATGGCCTGAGGACTGATCAATACCATTGCCAGGTATATCGCCTGAGGACTTATCATTAGTGATGAGTCAAATGTGTGTGTAATCTGGATTTTGGATATACTGTGTGTCTACTGGTACTTGGGTCATAATTGCACAGGATTGCCACCTTATCCTTTTTAAAACCCAACACATATTAATTACACAGGTTATGTGGCTGATTAAGGTGGTAATTAAACTCAGTCCCTTATCTGCATTAAATTAGCCTTAGAACCTGTGTAATTAATATGTGTTCGGTTTTAAAGGGATGAGGTGGCAACCCTACTATCACACTGGGCATGGTTGCCTTACACCATGCTCAAACAGGATTCCCCTACTCCTCTGCTGGCCTTTCTTTACATTGTGTTGCGCCTGAGCATGTCATAACCTCTGCTTTACATTAACCAATTTCAGGCCACCTGCCCGCAATGTACTGCGAACGGGTGGCCGCTACAGGAACCGTACGTTGCTGGTCTGTTGCCAAGCAGGCATCTGTCCTGTGTTCATTGGGCATAGTGTAATGAGAATCCCGGTAATCGGGACCCAGTGAGGACAATAATAACAAAGCTTTTATGAATCAATCTGATTCATAAAAGCTTTGTTTCTGTTCCTGGAGAGCTGTGATTGGTCCACAGCTCTCACATGACACATGGGGCAAATCACAGCTCTCTGTACCATGTGACCAGCTGGAACCAGTCACAGATCTGTCACAAAACTGGAAAAGCCTATGATCACGCCGATTTTGGTGTGATCAGATCCTTTAGGGGCAGAGGAGAGATCTAGAGTCTAATAGACCCCAGATTTCTTAAAAAAAAAAAAAAAAGGACCTGTCACTGCCTGATATTTACATTCCCTGTGATAACAATAACAGTGATCGAAAAAAAAAAAAAAAAAATTAAATAAACCCCACCCTCATCCCCATGCTCGCACGCAAAGGCAAATGCAGGTGGTGGTCCCATGGCAGTATGTAAACCAAGATTGCACCATTCATATCACTGCGAATGTCAGATCTATGTCGGAGTAATTCTAGCACTAGACCTCCTGTGTAAATCTAAAGTGGTGACCTGTAAAGGCTTTTAAAGCGTCGCCTATGGATATAAAAAAATACGTAATTTGTCACCGTTGCACGGAAGTGCACAATTTTAAAGCATGTCATGTTTGGTATCCATTTACTCAGTGTAACATCTTTTATGTTTTATCAAACAATTGAGCAATATATTATGTTTTTGAGCATTAAAATTCAAAAAATTTGCATTTGAAAAATCGCTGCACAAATACTGCGTGACATAAAAGATTTCAACACCCATCTTTTTATTCTCTAGCGCCTCTGCTTTAAAAAAAAATATATAATGTTTGGGGGTTCAAACTGTTTTTTCAAGTGAGCAAAAAGTGTCAGAAAAGGTTTGGTCTTCAAGTGGTTAGAAAGGTGGGTGATGTCTGGCATAAGCTTCTAATGTTTGCCCTGAAATGCCAGGATATTAAAAGCAACCCCCGACCCCTTTTTGGAAAGTAGACACTTCCAAGATATTTGCTAAGAGACATTTTGAGTATTTTGCAGATCTCATTTTGTTGCCACACATTTTTGGAAAACTAAAAACAAAAATGTGTTTTTTTTTTGTTTTTTTTTTCTTTTTCAAAACCCTGTGACAAAAATTATATCTGCATAATACTTAACACATCTTATTAAATTCCTTGGATTGTCTGCTTTCTAAAAAGGAGTCATTTGGGGGTTGTTTGTACTATCCTGGCTTTTTAGGGCCTCCGAAACTGTGATAGATAGTGAGGATGTGAGGATGAGGAAAAATGCCCTTTGAAAGACTGGAGGTGGTCATTGGATTTTGGGGGTGTGTATGTGGCTAGGCTGCCAAAAGGTCTCTCACATGTTGTATCCCCATACTCCGGAGAAGTAGCAGAATGTGCTTTTGGGGTGTTATTCCACATATATCCATGGCATGCGTGAGCAATATATCATTTAAATGTCAACTTTGTGTAAAAAAAAAATTGCCATTTTCCAAAAATTTATGGCAAAAAACAATGTTCCATAGACTCAACATGCTTCTCAGCAAATTCCTTGGGGTGTCTACTTTCCAAAAAAGGGTCTCTTGGGGTTTTTTGTACTGCCCTGGCATTTTAGCACATCAAGAAATGTGATAGGCAGTCAGAAAGTAAAATCCAGTATATAAAGTTATTGACTCTCTAACTAAACCAATTAATATACATGTGTTGGGATTTTTTTTTTCACCAAACACATGCAGCAGAATACATTTTGGCCTAAATTTATGACTAACTTTGAGTATACTATATATTTTTTATTATCGAAAGTAAAAAAAATATTTTTTTTTCAAAATTTCTGTCTTTTTTTCATTTTTAAAAAATAAAAAAACCATTGGTGATCAAATACCACCAAAAGGAAGCTCTATTGGTGTGAACAAAAGGACATCCATTTTCGTTTGGGTACATCATTGTATGACTGTGCAGCTACCACTTGAAAAATGGCATGGTCATTGGGGAGGGTGCATTTTCCGGAAGTCAAGTGTTTAGTAGGTACCATGTCTGAGACCACCTGCGGTCTGTGATTGGTCAGTGAAGGAGCAGCAACACACTAATAAGCTATCAGCTCTTCTCTTTGTTCTCCCCTTCTTTCAGCATGTTCCTTGTTAAGGCTTTAGGTCTAGTTTACACTAGCGTTGTTCTTTGGTTGCTTTTCAAAACTTTAAAGGAACTGGATGAAAATTAATTTCTAGCAGTGAATGTGGTATTCAATTTTTGAATGAATGGACTTTTACATATGAAAGTTTTTTTTTTTTGTTTTTCTTTAAGTACTTTCGAATTTCTTTCATCACATCATCAATTTGTACTGATGAGAATTTCAAATGATTGTTCGTATACTCTGTTATGAGGCTTATTAATCAAGCCACATAAATGTGTCTTCTAATGCTCTCTAGAGTCTCAAGCTTCTCAGGTTTGAATTATCTGCCTTGGGTGTGCATCTTGTGCATGCAACACGTTCTATGCTATGCATTCATGGGTACAAAACCATTGGCTCTCCGATTTTTAAATTATCTCAATATACTGATTTAATAGTTAAACTAATTAGAATCACGAGACAATGATCAAGGAATCTAGCTGAAGGTCACCAAATCTTGAAACCAATGAGCTTTTTGGTGTAAGTTACAAATGAACTTGTATCTGATTAGTAATGCCTAATAGCACAACTGTGCATAATTAATTGTGAGTACTTATAACTTGATTGCTGCCTGGATTCCATGGTCCTAAGTGAACAGTTTGAAATTGCAGACACTGATGTAGTTTAGCCTTTGAAGCTTATTATCACTTGTCATATTTGCCTCCTAATCTGCAAGCTGAAAGAGGGACAACTTGGTGATCACCGTTTTCTGAACATAAACCCCCTCCTTTTTTTTTCTGTTTGGAAAACCAACCGAATGATAA